AGTGTCGATTCTTTCCAGATAGGCTTCCCAACAAAAACTACCAATCCTAGGAGGTATTGTTCTGCACCAAACCTCACCAACAGGGAAAGGGGGGAAGGTAGGACTGGTGGACTGACTTAAGACTTTGAAGAACGAAGCACAAGAGAAGATGCCATTGGGGGTAGTGTCCAAATTCTAGAATCTGCCCTAGTGGGGTCTAAGACAACRTTATCAAGAAGTGCAATAAGGCTCGAAATATTGTCAAGGTCTGAGTCCCTCAAATCCCTTCTTAGACCCAAGTTCCACCCAATCCCAGAAGTGGAAGAGGACGGGGTGATGAAAGACGAGATTGGCTCATTTTTCAAATTAGAAAGAGCATACAAAGAAGGAAATTGATCATTTAAAGGGGCACTCCCCACCCAGGTTTGTTCCCAAAATTTTATGGAGTTAGTGGAATTCAAGTCATACCTGATATTAGGGGAGAAAACTGGTAGCAGGTCATGAATGGCTTTCCAAGGAGAATTACTTGTGGTCCTAGCTCTGATTCCAGCGTCCCATCCATTGTGCTCTAGCCCATGTATACTTGCCACTATTCTAGCCCATAGCTTCTCCTTCTCCATAGGGAACCTCCACAACCACTTCCCCAACAGAGTCATATTCCTTCTCCTGATACTCCCAAGCCCTATGCCACCACAAGACTTACTCCTATATACTATCTCCCAGCTAACTCTGTGATCCCTCTTTTCCTCTCCTAGCTCCCACAGGAAATCTCTCATAAGCTTTTCTAATATGTTAGCAATCTTCACTAGGATTTTAAACACCGATAGGAAAAAGATGGGTAAGTTAGCAAGCGTGGCCTTAATTAGTGTAATTCTCCCACCGAAAGAGAGGTAGTTCTTTTTCCAGGATACCAATCTTTTTTCAAACCTTTCCACCACCGGGTTCCAAAAGCTCTCTCTCATGGGATTATCACCTAATGGCAACCCTAAGTAGTTCAAAGGCCACCCCGAACCTTCACACCCCAACACTTCAGCACTCTCCCTGAGCTCTCCCTCCTCCAAGTTCACCCCCACTATACAACTTTTCCCAAGGCCTACTTGCTCAATTGATTAGAGTATTATGTAAGTCCTGCATTGATTAAACCATTTAAACTCTAAGCATCATAGGAATGCCATAAATTCCATATTCAACTTCAAATTCCAGGTTAATTCATCACAATATAGCAAGCTAGGGTAGGTACACACCACAAAAGGATCCTTACTTATGAGCCTAAGTGTGCCTGAGGCATGCCTTCAAAATACTGATTCAGGTCTTGTTGGGTAGACATGTGCACTGGCTATTGCATTACCTGACCCGCCTATACAAAAGTAATGCTTGATCATTTAAAATAGGGCTGCCAATGGTCCAGGTCAACCTGACAGACTTGAACTGTTCTGATCCTATTATACAGGGTTTGGATTTACGTTGTGTCCCAATTGTCAATAGCATTGGTTTTACCTATTCTGACCCGATTAAGAACTGAATAATTATATATGAATATGTTAGCACATGATAGAAATTCCTCCTGAGGCATGCCTTTGAAATACTGATCCAGGTCTTGTTGGGTAGACGTGCACTGGCTATTGCATTACCTGACCCGCCTATACAAAACTAATGCTTGATCATTTAAAATAGGGCTGCCAATGGTCCAGGTCAACCTGACAGACTTGATCTGTTCTGATCCTATTATACAGGGTTTGGATTTACATTGTGTCCCAATTGTCAATAGCATTGGTTTTACCTATTCTGACCCGATTAAAACTGAATCAAATATATATGCATATGTCTGCACATGATAGAAATACCTCCTGATGTTTTATGATGTTTCACATGGTTTACCTATAGTTTCATTTAATGCAAAAAATGATCATTTTATAGGAAATAATAAAAGATACTTTGAGAACAGGGATCAAGAGAGTTAGCAACCAAAGGCATGTCAATTATAATCAGGTCCGACCCAATAAGCCCAATTAATAACAAGATTGGTTCTCGGTCTATATTACATACGGGCACTGGGTTGTAACTGGGTATGGATGTTTTCTTCTCAGTTTGGGACCAGGTCTACTATGACCCATACCGGACCCAACCTATTGACTGCCCCACTTTTAGGGTTTCAAGTCAGGTTGCCCAATTTAAAGAGTTTCAACTGCATCTGGCTTGGGCACATTCAAATTTTAACAAATTCTCAACCCATCCCAACCCAAGTTGCATCCCTACCTACATTTAAAACAGAAAAGCACAAAATGGAATGAAAAGTAGAATAGAAAATGTCATGTATTTATAATTTTATATATGCCTCTTGGGTGCCAAGGTTCTAAACCAGATATATTTTATGAATCTAAATCCTACCCATTCATTTCAGATGCTACTAACTGAGCTAACAGGGCATTGATCAAATATCCATTGACACCACTAGCCACTAGTTCTCAAAAGAATTAAGAATTAATTAAGAGGCACACATTTTATTCATAGTTAAAAATAAATCCAACATCTATGATTTTCTATTCTCTATCCATAAAAATTGTAAAACTTAAATCTAACTTAAGACCTAGTTCTCAAAAGAATTAAGAATTAATTAAGAGGCACACATTTTATTCATAGTTAAAAATAAATCCAACATCTATGATTTTCTATTCTCTATCCATAAAAATTGTAAAACTTAAATCTAACTTAAGACCTAGTTCTCAAAAGAATTAAGAATTAATTAAGAGGCACACATTTTATTCATAGTTAAAAATAAATCCAACATCTATGATTTTCTATTCTCTATCCATAAAAATTGTAAAACTTAAATCTAACTTAAGACCTAAGTAGCTATATCAGTGATTTACCTAATATGACTTTTGCAAGTGATTGAAATTGTGAACCGGATGAAGAATGCCAATTAAATGTACTATAGTTTGTACTTTTCTTTTTTCTTTATTGCTGTGCAGTCCCTTGTATCTATTATATTTAATCTTTAATTCCTAACAGTTTGAAGGGGCTCTTATGTAATTGTAAAAGATGAAAGGAACTGCACAGCAATAAGAAAAAGAAAAACTATGGTAAACTGGCAGCATTGCCCATCTGATTCACACCCAAATAAGCCCCATCTTGCCATAAATAAAAATTAGGAATAAATGGTTATGGAAGGTCTGGCAATGAGCCTCAATCATGAACCAAGCATTGGTATAAGGTGCACAATTGGTAATCTCGTCCAATCACAATAGCCTTACGAGACTAGTAACATGGGATTTTGAAACATTTTGCTGATTTGAGAGTTACATCTCCTTAATCGTGAGTAGAGGTAATTGGGCTTGGCTTTCAGAAGATTGATGTTGGAATAAGTTTCCTTGTGATGATTTTCTAGTCATGTATAACATGTCAGTTGATGGAATGGGTCTCAGTGCAGGATTTATGATAAAGTGGCTAGTGAAGTTGTCTGGGTGTCTGGGTTCAAGACCCCAGTGGCTTTTTGTTTTTTCAATTTAGCTGTTTTACATGTCCATTGGGCGGTGAGTCTTTCCTTCCCATGGTGAGATTTAAGGCCCAAATAATTCCTCCAAAGATTTTTCCTTTTCTGTGAAAGATATACATCAATAAAATCCTCACCGTGTATCATTTAAGATCTCAATGGAAAAATTTAGAGAACCTTTGTTCATTGTGCCATGCCAAAAGGGAGTCAGTGTTGCAGATTTTGCTTCATCATGACTACTCTATTTTGGTGTCATCCCATTTTAGGAATCAATGGATTATTCCAGATATCACGTCTTCTTTAATTGATTCAGGGATAGTAAAAGGGGTTTTGTGTGAGAGAAATTATTAAAATTGACTGCATGTGCTATTAATTGGTGCTAATGCAAAGAATAAAAAAGTGAGGTCTTTGAAGAACGAAGAATCTGGAAAGGTAGGCTGGAAATGTATAATTTATAATTCATTTCTGCTCATCTATGTTGGCAGATTTAGGTATCTGCAAAATAGATTAAGGAACATATCTTTGTATCTGCAAAATAGATGAATATGTAGTATGTGTCATAGATCATTGGCTATGTAATTTTTTTCCATGTAGGGTGTAACCCAAGTTACAATTGTTGGGAGGTGACTAAATTAATTTTTTTTTTTTGTTAGGGAGCATTCCCCACATAGATACTGACTAGCTAATGACCCTCTCCTCACTATGGAGCAACTATAAATGTGTTTTGTTTGGGATCCACTAGCTGCACGGCAATCCTTACCACTTAACTCGACCCACTGGAATCCCTACTCTGTGTTTTTCATTTAATGTAGACTTATTTGGTCCCTTTCTTTGAGAGGGAGGCCCAGCCATGTTTCTGAAGGAGAAGCCTCCCATTTTTGAGGGCTTCATTGTGTGTGTGTGTTTACTTTTCCTTATCTTTAGCCTCCTTCCAATTGTTCCTCTTCACTTCTCTCTTATTGTTTGCATGTTTTTCACGTGTTTAATCTGTCACAAATTAAAATCGAATTAGGTTGCCGATTTTGGTCTGTCCAAGGAAGAGGTCTTTGATGGTAGGAAGTCAGGACTGAAGGGTACCTATGGCTACATAGATCCTGAGTACATGTCCACAAACAGGTTCACAAAGAAGAGCGACATCTATAGCTTTGGAATTATAATCTTTGAACTCATTACAGCCATCCACCCTCAGCAAAACCTAATGGAATATGTCAATCTCGTAAGTTTCTCACTGCCCCTTAATCTACATTATAGAAATTCTCAGCATTCATCTCTCTCTCTCTCTCTCTCTAGGCGGCAATGGATTCAGATGGTGTAGATGAAATACTTGATAAGAAACTTGTTGGGAAGTGCAACCTTGAAGAAGTGAGGCTCCTTGCAAACATTGCTTACAAGTGCCTGCACAAAATCCCAAGAAAGCGACCATCAATTGGAGATATCTCACAGGCTATATCAAGGATAAGAAAGAGGCGGCTTACCAAGGAAGACACCATGTCTTTTGCGGGAGATGTTTCACAAGTTGTAAGGCGGATAGAGCATCAACAAGTAGAGCTGAGTAAGATCACCAACATGAGAGATAATGCAGGAATAACATGAAGTAGTAATTTTGTTTCAAGATCTTTGCCCGGATTTCTGATGATGAGAGATAATCTACAAGTTAAAGGCTGAAAGTAAAATCAAGGGACCTGAATTTGGGTGTCGACGAGATTCTACCGTGCTTTCTGGGCTCCCAAAGGAAAGGCAACAGCCTTTGTTGTATAGTCGGATTCTGACAGTTTGTGAGCTCTCGTATGAAGGTTCAAAATCATGTACATAGATACTCTTCTTGATCACATTACTCGACCAAGAGCATCTTGGTGATTTTCCATCTAAGGATCAATATATAAGGAACATTTTCTCTAAAGAGGATCTTATTTTTTGTACATTAAAGGAAGTACATAGAGGACCTTTTAGAAATTAGAGTCATTAAACAATTTAAACTAACCCATGTAGAGTACCAGACCAAAATATCCGCCTAAGATATTTTTTTTTTTTTAAGTCGGAATTTAAACAAGGGATTTTGTAAAAGGATGGTGGGGGACTGCAACATCCTCTTGGAAAGGCGAAAACTTGTGCATTCACAAATTTGTATTTATCAGTCACTCCAACATGCGCACCATGTTGCAGAATAAATCACAGCAGAAAAGCCAGAAACATAAGCTGGGCGGCGGGGATGATCAAGAACACCCAAGAAATGATCCTACGGGTTGGTGCTCTTTGCTGCATAATCTGTGAAAGCGATGACAATGAGGTGACACTAGATATCGGGGATTAGCTGGATTGTTGGCTTGAGGGTGGAAATGGAATAGGCTCATATTATTTCAACTAAATGCTAATTCAGATGACCAACCCCAACTCTAATATCTGGCTTGCCATAAATGAGTTATTTTTAGCAAACTTCAAAATATCAATACGCACTATACACCGGTAGTATCAGGCAGTATCAATAGTTTCGGTTCAGAGGAGTTGGTTTAAAGTCCATCCACCTTTGAATTGGTCGAAATTCCAAAACACCCCCTAAAGGGGCATATCGGAAAACCCCTGATACGATACATATTGGCCGATTCGGTTTGATACATATCAAAATTTCGAACCTTGATTTTTAATGCCTATACGGGAGATGGTTTTTATGCAGCGGCTTTTTGGCGTTCCATGAGCTGATAAATCTGGAATGCCGTGAAACTAAGCTGGTAAAAACCTGGAAAGTCGAAAATAGGTTTATTGAATTAAATGACTTTCCAGTGGAGCTGTCAGGTAGCTTCTCCCAATTAACACAGCTCAGTCAACGCAGAAGTTTTCCTTAATGGATTCTTATCATGCTAAGGTAACATGATTATAATTTCTCTCTCTCCTAATTTTATTTATCAAAATCTCCACCTATGATACAGTATTCTGCATTGCGTTTTGATAGATTTCAAAACTAATTATTTGCTCATACAATAAGGTTCATTTCATCTTTGATTTTCGCTCCTTATAATGAAAAATCTCTCGTAAAATTGAATTATTTGGGCATCAGTCATTTGTGTGGGTGCTGAAAGAAAATTTTCTTGTTGTGAGGGTTATCCAGATTCTTCTACAATCTCCTGGAGTCATTTAGGAGAATTTCAATTGTTCAGTCTTGGTTCAATGATTTTGATTTTTGAGGAAACCCATTTGAAGTCATGTTGGATTTCTTTCTTCACCGACGCCGATATAGAAAATCAATAAAGCTTCAATAACCCATTTTATCTCAAGACAATTTTCGCTTGGCCTTTGCTGCTTACTGGTCCATTGATACGCCACTTTTCTTCAATTTCACGCCTTGTGAATTTTAAACCCATAGCCTAATGGCGATAAAACACTAAACACCTGATAAAACCTACTACAGATTTGGAGGCCACCTCAGGCAAAGGCTATTTCATTCACGCACAGAGAGAGAGAGAGATTGTTTATTAACAAACAAGCCTATTGATGAGGACCTTCACCAACCATTTCTATTATCGCTGGAGATAACTCCAAGAGGAATTGAAGATGTCCCTATTCACTAACAAAGGCTTGACAAACGACAAGGACACCCGACATTTAGGACTTCACAGTCAGTCTGGATCGAGTACAGTGGATGAAGTGGATCCAATATAGGGTCATATTATAAGCGGATTAGATCTGTTATTCGAGATCCATGTCCACCTTCACCAGTTTATGTTTGGGTAAGGCAACTTATCCTAAACAAAAAAGTACTTCAGAGTTCACATCAGTGATTAAAGCAACAAAGGAAATGGATTTTGGGAAGGCAAGTAATCCCCACAAAGAGCACTAATATGAATGATTAAAGTAACAATGGAATTTGCTCTATTTTGATAAGAAAAGCAGAAAAAAGTGAGATGGGGTTGATTTTGCTTTTGGGGTTTCCGAGACCCCAAGTGCCCATGAAAATTGAAAAGGAAGATCTCCAAGATCAAGGAAGGGTCCTGTCTGTGTCCCAAAGACCACCACTAGATATGCGACAAAGAGAGGGTTGTGGGTTGTGACCGCTCTCGATTGTTGTTTTTGCTTATTTCTCTCGCGGTCATACTCATGGTCATGGGCATCTTTCTTGTTCAGTGTTTGTCAAGGGGTCTAATGGCCTGGGCGTGAGCATCCATGAAATGTCCTTGTAGTTTTCAGTCATATATTCTAGACAAAACATCGCTTGTTGGCATCAGAGGACTAAGGACTCTTGTCTGCACAGTAACTACAAGGTGAAATTAACAGCACATCAAAGCTCAAAGGATCAGAGGAATTAACGGGTTACCTGCCAAGAGGAAGAAAAAGTAAAATGAGAGTATGCCTGTGGAATCATGGCAATGCTGTCAATACAGAAACAACATGTTCATGTCTTCCACCCGTCAGGAGCTCAGTACATATAGATTGGGACTTTGAATCCAATGGCCCCAACTTGCTTCTTGTTGGACACTACCCAGCTTTTAACAACACTAAAAAAGTAGGTGTGATGTCGGTCGGACCTTGCTAAAGGCCATGAGAGCTCCATCAACAGCTCCAGCAATTTACTGAGAAAAAATTGTTATTTTGTTCTACTTCTACACAAGTTTCCTGTACCACACACCAATGACCACAGGATTTGATAATTGCACCCATAAATAAACACGTAGAGAAGTACAAAGTTAGAGTTCACAATACTTTTTGATATTTTTATTGGTAGCTTGAAATTTTATCAAGGGTTATTATGACAAACTGCCCTTCGGTTTTCTTACGTTTCAGACGCTTTTGTTTATGACATTGCGACCATCATAACGAAAGTAGTCCAAATGCACCACTATTATTATTGTTTTTTAATACAAAACTAACCCTGATTAATTGATTAAATTTCATATGACAAAAATACCCTTATCTCTGTGGGATGCAAATGTAAACTCCCCTCCAACAGTTCAACTGAGCAGATTGACGAGTCTATTTTCAATAGATTTGTTCAAAGTATGGAATTGATAAAGGGGCATCATAGTAATCTTGCAAATTCCATTCGTTTTCTAATGGCAAATGTATGATCTCTGCAGGCATGGAAAAATCGAGACAGGTTTAACAGTAAGTCAGAGAAGTGGAATTTCCAGACAATAACCCTTTTATTTGTTTATTTTGGTGGGCAATTAGGCTGCATAATAGAGTATTTTTTCAGATAATAACTCTCTTACAATGTTTGTAAAGGTTTCCCTACCTTTCTTTTTCCTTCAAACCGGACATAGCCTTATTGATATATAAATGTCAGGGGACCGGGACAACCCACAAGAACTCCTACCCACACCTACCCAATTTATATCTCCTATCCACACTTAATCCTTTGCATAAAGATTCACTACAGCTGTATATGGGGAACATCTTCCCATGAATAATAGCATACAGATATGAAAGATGTAGATGTTCTCAATATACAGCTGTAATGAGACTAATGATAGCATACAAATATAAAAGATATAATATTCTCAATATACAACTGTAATGAGACGTGGATAAGATTCTAATGAGTAGTAGATCCGAACAGGAGGAATCCAACCTACACTTGTGAATTGGGAATCTGTGATAGACTTCTTACAATAGCTATAAATGTACACAGTAATGCTGTCACAAGTATGGACATGTGGCAAGTGGCATCCAATGGATTCGTAATTGTAAGCACACTGCCGTCTTCATCTAGAGAATGGATTCGTAATTGTAAACTGGCATTGGAAAACTATGAATGGATCTTTGCCCCAAGTGGCATCCAATGATCCGAATATGTAGTTAACTAAACAAAGCCCTTTCATTCGCACACAAGGCAAGAGGAAGAGGACAGTGAGACAATGAGAAATAAACTATAAACAACTAAAACAAGGTACAGATGCGAAAACCTACAAAAAAAATTGAAATTTACCATTCCACCATATTAAGTTAACTAAACAACAAAACGAATCAAGTATCTAACCACGTTCCTTGGTCTTAAGAATATGTTTGGTTTTGAAGAAAAAGGTAGGAAAAGAAAGGGAAACTTAAAGAAGGTTTGTATAGGCCTCCGTACCTTTTCCTTCCTTTCCCTACTTTTTTCCTTCAAACCAAACACAGCCTAGATGTTCTTTCTTGGCATGAGAAGAAATGTGCACCTTCTATTTCTCTTCCTCCTAAATACTAATTCCGACCAGCGGCAGCCCTCGAGTGCACAACACTATTATACAAAACCACCACCAACATCTGAGCGCGCATGCTTAAACAGACAAATCATCAAACAACTGAGTTCCCTAAATCACTTGTCTGCCACTACAAACAATAAGTCCACGAAGAGAGACCGGAAAAACCGATGCTGCTTAATACACCAACCTCATTCGAAACAAGTCCAACATAAAATAACAAATAGCTCTAACATCACAATGTACAATAACATTTTTCTTTTTTTTCTTTTGGGATTTTATTCTACCAAGTTATTTATCTAACCAGTGAACATGGAGTGAAAAGATTAAAAGAGAAAATAAAAGTGAAAAAGGAACAAGGAACAATCACCCTTGCCTCTTTCACTTAAAGCTGATGACCGATACTCTCATCTCATCCTCAGATTCTAAGAATATTTACAACACTTCCTCCTACGACTACCACTACCAACTCCCAAATACAATACCTTCGTCCGGGAGGAAAAACCAAAATCAGACCTATCTACGGACCCTCACCCCCACACAGCTCCAAGTCTTATTCTTCTTCTTCTTCTTCAGTCGTCTCTTTTTACATTGGCAGATATGCAACTGTCTCAAAACTGGCATGATGTTCCAAGCCTCTGTCTCTGCCTCTGCCCAAGGCTCACAGATTTTCGGTTGTCAAATGCTGGGTGCAGCAGCTCCTGGAACTTGTCAAGGAACAGCGTCCACTCCTCTTCGTTCATGTCAGCCAGTTTCACAAAGCTCACGCTTGCAGGCAATTGCTCGTTTGCACTCCTATTCCCTGAAGACGTGCCTTCAGCCTTCGAATTCCGGTAGCACAAGTTCTTCTCACCTAGGCCAATGCTCTTCAGAGACATAGAGACCTTAGAAATGGTTGGTGCCCGATTAAGAGCTAGTGGGTTTGCAAAATCCTGTAACCTTTCTGGCTCCTTTTCCCCATCGCTCTCTTCCTCCTCGATGCTCTCCTCTAGTTTAGAAAGTGGATTTCGGCCATTCCCAGCTCTGAACCCAAAATTGAACGGTGTTTTAGCCATGAAATCGTATGCCATTTTGGGTGTCGAGTCCACCATTGCTTCATCACAGTCTATATCAAACTGGAATTCCTCTTCCTCTCCTGCTTCAGATTGGGATGAAGCTTCCCTTTCTGCAGCTATCAATCTCCTCGCCTCAATGCATACCACCTCAAGCTCACTTGGCTCCTCATCACGGCTCCGAAACTCTCTACTCATCATCTCACCTATCTCAGCAAGACAGAGACCAAAAGCCGCTGCTTCCTTGAGAAAAATAGTACAAAGAATCAAAACTCGAAGGCACGCCTCTCGTATCATGGGCAGCTCCATCCGTAGCATCTCAGAATCTTTAAATGGATCAAGCATTTTAATGTACTCAAGCTCATCCTCAGTGAATGGAATTGATGCTTGAGGCCAATGGATCCACTCGAAGTATGGGTCCTCAAGGCTCTCTGGAAGGCAGAGGCCATGATCAATTGGAATGAGTTCAACCTGACCAAAGCTCCCAATCCCATCAAGCTTCCTAACCAGAAGGTTTCCAGCATGTCTGTCCGTATTCAAGATCCTTATATCTAAAATCCCTATTCTATGCACAGCAGCAACTGGGAAACTTGATGTCCCATGATCACTGGCATCGAAGTCATGAGGAATGAACTGCTGGAAAGATGCAATTTTGCTAACCTGCTTCCTGTCATGAGTCTTGCTTCCATTTACCCCATCATTGACATTGAAGATTGAGTGTGTGATCTTCACAAGTGCCGTAGGGGGAACATTGGCGAAATGATCATAGTCAAGAAGGTAAGCTGCAACTTCTCTGAAACCTGTCTCCCCAACCCGCACAGAACGTTTCAACCCTGGCTGCCCAAGGGCCTTTCCAACAAAGCCCTTTGGGTTGTTTGGCGCAAAAGGTTCTTCATCTGTTGGCTTTACTATTGCAACACTCTCACCTTGAACGTTTCTAAAATAGTAAGCACCACCAAGGCCATTATGAACAGGGATTGGATCAATACCATTCTTTATTGCCTTCACAATGTCCTTCACCAGTTGTTTTGTTCTAGCAAATTTGCTTGAGTACCCTAATATTTCAATCAGAGCACTTTGATCCCTCTGCTGGAGATCCTTACCGGTTGGCGAGAGGCATGGAGTTGATGAGCTCCTGTGCAGGAGGTTACGCTTCAGCAAAAGAGGTGAATCGTTTCGAACAGCACTGAGGTCATTCTTCAGCACCAGATCCCCAAATGTCAGCGAGCTCTCCTCTGTTGGAACATTAAGGGCAAGCTGCAACCTTCTCTTCACAGTATGGACATTATCACTTCGGTCCAACTCCAGCCCCAAAACACAGCCAGTATCAGTTTGCACAAAGACACGCCTCCTCCCAACTGGTTTTCCCTCCAATCTCTTGCTCCCATGGTATTCTGCACTGATGGGGCCGTTAAAGACTGCTACTGCCATCTGAGTCTGAACAGGGCTGTCCAAGTTAGGAGACATGGAAGGGAGAAGAGAAGTGCTTGCTTTCAAGGCCAGCGACAGAGGTGGCGTCAGCAGAGAGCTTCCTCTCCCTCAAACAGGCGCCAAACTCAAACGCTGACACAAGATGAATGAGAGAGATGTCTATTTTCCAAACAATCATTAATCGACTACTAGAATTTGAACTGCCTCTGTTAATTTTCACATCAGATTGAAAGGCACTGTACACAGGTACAGAGAAAGAGATCTAATGAAGTTGCTACATTGGGGAAGCCATTGGATGCCGAGTGAGGCAGAAGAGGGAAATCTGTAAAGAAAATTAATAATCACCGTTAACTCACAAAAGAAAAATATGTACCTACTCCAAATAAATCCAGCTAAAATAACAAGAATCATTTCACAAAAGAAGTATCTTAAAATTCTTGACCGCTAATTAATATATTTTGAGGGAAGGGGTAGGGGCGTAAGTTCGGTAACACAATATACTTTTAACACTTTAGATATTGGATACGAGTAAAATAAACGAACGCTAAAGAAATGGGAAAAAGATTGACAGGTTGAGATATTTTTCCCTGATCATGAACTGTCTCGCTGTTTTAATACTTGCAGCACAAGCAGAATAAACGCTAAAGAAAAGGGGGGGAAATTGGTAGATCGACATATTTTTCCTTAAACTGGACAACCGAGCAAAGACGAGTGAAGGATATAGTGTTACAGGGATCTTCCTGCATTAAGCGTCCTTCATTATTACTTTATTTTCAAAGATAGAGTCTTTGTTTTTCATAAAGAAAGATAGAGTAATTTTCTAGAAGAATCTCACAAGATAGGGCGAAAAATGCACTTTGAATACGTTTATCCACTAAAACCCTTAAAAACTCAAGTTCATTCGTTCATTTCATGAAATTGCAACGGTAATTTCGGTTCGGAGTTCATCGTAATTCAAAAATCAAACAAAAGCAAGGCACTCGTACTTCAAATGATTCTTCATCTTAAAATATAGTAATTATTCACTCCTTTCTCCGATAAACCAGAAAAAAAATGAACGAAAATTTAAATCTCTATTGGCGAGAAAGAAACCTCTACCATTTCGTCTGAACATTGAATCCAACCAGAAATCCGCAAGGATATATTAGAACAACCGAGAGGACTTCAATGATCAACTTTCAAATGTAATCTACGGAAATTAAGAAAACATATGACAAAAAAAAGAAAAAGAAAAAGAAAGGCGAGACTGATCTCTCTCCCAAAATCTGATCAAGCATACACAATTCGAAAAATCCAAGAGAGCAACTGACCAGATTGCGAGACTTAGAAGCAAAACGCGTTGAGTTCGTACGCGGAGAACACCAGAGCCTCGATTCCGTGTCAAGGACGAAGGAAATCGGAGACGAACGGCTTGGATCCGAGACACAAACCGCGTAAGGGTTAAATTTGATCGAACTGCCTCAGATACCTCTTCTCCAAGCCAAAGCCCTCTCTTCGAATCTTCCTCTTCTCCCTTTTAACTCCGATCTCGTCTCGCAGTCTCGAGTGAAGAAAGAAAGGGTGGATAGAGTCAAGGCCAAGGGCGCAGAGGGGGTTAAAAAACTAACCGTAGTTAGAGAACTGGGGTTTTCGTTTTGCTTCTCCTTCGAAGAAGATTCTAGAAACCGAAACCAGGATCGTCGATTGCGAAGGAATATGTCATCTTCACCGCTTGATGTTAGCCCAATGGGATTTTGTAAGTAGGGCCCATAGGGTTAATTACGTGGAAAAAGGTGACTGGGCGGTGACGTGTTAATATCTTCGTCAAACAGGTACTGCTTTTGTTGCCGGTAATCCGGCAGGTATTTGAATTTGACCATTTTTTCCATGAAAATATCAGAGTTACCATTCTATCCATTCTAAATCAGGAAACGTCGATGGACCGAAATACCCTTCAAGTATATAATAAGTTATAGAGACGACATGGACCACCACCACCCACTTGGCGGGCCTAGGTGGGGGCATCTTCTTTTGACAACTGCTGAGCTGATCAGCTTTTCCATTCGTGCCCGGTCCCGTTATCAGGATCATTCGATGAGTATCATGATTTGACTGAAAGGTTCATGACATGAATGGTGGGGCCCTTAAGATTTCTCTTCGTACCACCATACGATCATCCCCTTTAAATTATCATAAACCTGGATCATTGATACCGTGTAAAATTTGTATTTTAAAGGGTCATTTTCAGTTTTCTAAAACTAGGATTTTCTCGGAAACAAGAAGGTGAAGCTGACTAAAGTGACGAATTTACCCTTACACATTTGGGGATCACGGAAAGCATACAAGAGGGGTGTTAATGTAATTTGAGGGGGAATTCTTCCAGACGTTACGGGATCTGCGGGAAGTTCGTGGAGGAGCCCGAGAAAATTTCAGCACTCCCTACGTTTAGTCGTTTACTAGGCAATTTTAAACAGTTATGATGAATCAATTTTAGAAAAATAATAAATTAAGACCTATACTCTTTACGAAGTGAGGGACAGATCCTCTGGTTGTAGTACGGACAGAAAAGACACGTTGCGACGATGCAATGGGCGTGGTGTCTCAGAAATGTGCTAACTTGTTACTCAATGCGATGACTCTACCCTTAGTGCCAAGGGTGTGTCAGGACTGTGTAGTAGTCCTGTGGGAGTATCGCTCAACACGTGTAGTTTGGATAAAAGATTGGGACCCACTAGGTGGTTCCCACCCTCCGATACGGGTTTTACCTTTTTTAATTATATCCTTTGAGTGGGGACCCTGTCCTACAAGAGGCACATGGCAATATCTGATCTCATATATTCCTTTGTTCAGTTCATGTATCGGTTGAAAGAGCTCAAATCAAATGATGTGGTTGCCGATTTATAAGAAAGATAAATAAGGCGAGAGGAAAATTATTTATTTGGGGGAAATAAGGTAGGAAGTAAATTGATGCTGTCATTTTATATAAGAGAAATTATGGTAGGAGGAAATGGTGTAAAGTTTGCATCAACTTTTCAGATGCAAAATCTGCATTGTTAATAGATGCAAATGAGACAAAATAAAAATGTAAATTTGGTATTAGATAAGAGTGAATCAGGTATTTGATATTCTCAACATACTTATACAAAAGGGAAGGAAAGAATTAGGTGGGTCACTTGGAAATTGCGCAAACTTTTTTATAATTAAATTGTGGATGGTGCTTGTCGTGGGTAAGGGTGTCAATGGACCGGTTTTGGATTGGATCCCATCCAGTCCAAAATTAATTTGGATGGATTGGACTGACTAACAAAATAAATTGGATTGGACCAATTCGGTCCAAAATATTTATTAGATTGGATTGAACTTGGTCTGTCCATAACAAATTTATATTGGATTGGGTTATATTAAGCCAATATCTGATCCATTGATATAAGATAAGAATATATGTATCAATGAACCAGGTTTGGGTTGAAATCAATCTAAGTCAAAATGAATTTGAATAGATTGGATGGTCCAAACATTAAATTGGGCCAATCCAAATTGGTCCAAAACATTTATTGTATTGGATTGGACCTGGTTCATTTATAACGAACACACATTGAATTGGACACCCCTAGTCATGGGAACCCCGATGATAGTGGAGGAGGTGGTGTAGTGACTAGTGAGAAACTTTATAGGGGTTTTTTGCTTTGCCTTCTACAATTTTATGGAATGAGCGCTTCTATTAGAGCTGAATTTAATGCTCTCTATGATGACCTTCAAATTTGCCTATCTTGCAACATTTTGGAAGTCGAGATTTAAAGTGATAATCAATGCTTAATTGATATTCTCCTTGAAAAAATTCCCCACCCTTGGCTTCTAACTTATATCCTTCCGAAAATTGAGAAAACATGTGCTGTTATGCACCTTTCTTTTTCTCATACATTAAGAGAAGGGAACAAATGTGCCAACTTTTTTGCTAATGAGGGTATTAATAAAGGAAACTACTATGCTTACAATTCCATCAATGAGGTTCCAAGAGAGGTAAGATTACTTTTTCAAGAAGACTATTTTGGGATTCCATCACTCCGTATAGGTTAATGGTCTTGTTTAGTTTTGATTGTATTTTAATATTTTGTTTTTTAAACCTTATATTGGATTGGAATGAGATGGTAAGGTTGTGTGTTTTGTTGTTGGGTTTTGGGGCAAGGTGGGGTATGTCCTCCCCTGTTTTGATTTACCTCCCTTTTAATAATGGTTAGTAAAATTTTTAGGTGGTCACCCCTCCAACTGGAGTAAACTTAGGAAAAAAAAAAAAAAAGTATACAGATGTAATACTAACCTGTGGATGCAAGATTTGTATCTGGGTTAGATTTGCATTGCAACCAAATGCAGCGTAAATTTCCCGAAGGATTGCACCAGTGAAAATAGCCTTTATTGTTAGTTTGATAACCAGTTCAATGACCTCAGAGTTGTATAACATAGCTGAAGGAAGCCTCATTGAGCTTATGGTTTACAGCACAGTCCAATTTGTATTAGGCTTATGTGACTAGGCGGGAGGGGGCACTGATAAATAGGAGGAACTCAAGATCATCTCTACCCATAAGACGTTACCCACACTCTTCCCATGAGGTATTATAGTGCATGTTGAAAACATTCTCATAAGGGAGCGTTCTTTTTTTGGATTTTGAGAGGGGGGAAAGTTGGTTAATGGGGTTTTGGTTCCCATTGACCAAGAATTTCATGTTCTTTTTTTAGATTAATGTGGGGACTAGGTAAGTGATACCCATCTCCCAGGTGGGAAGAAAGTTTCTAACACTTGAATGGAACAAAAATACCCATTTTAATAATAAATTTTTATGGTTAAAATAGTCATTTCCTTTTTTACTTGGGAAATAAAAAAACATGGGTAAATACACTTACCTGGGTAAGTATTTTCCAAGAAAAACTTACCCAGGTAATTGCATTTACGTAGATAAGTAACTTACCAAAAAACGAACAGGGCCTAGGCCTAAATGGCAACATAAAAGTGGGAATTGAAGATGTTTCTAATACATGGCTATGTTGTCTTGTGGATAGTGTGTGGGCAACATCTTGCGGGTAATAATAGATCCAAGCTCGAAGAATAGAAGGTCGACTTCACTATTTTTGTGATCTGATGAAATTCCACTTGGACTGAGTTTGGATTGATAGAAAGTAAGAGAAAACAAAGAAATTGATGAAAGTTCTTATGAAATCTTACCAAACTTTCCATCAACTTTCTATTCCTCTTTTATTTTCTGTCAAACCAAATACAACTTTAAAGATTTAAGGATCAATTGGTATCATAATTAGTTTCTACTTTTATGATACCAGTTGATTGGTTATAATCTTTTTGAGTACCATGCCTTTCCCGTAACATAGCCGAATCCAACAATATATGATATATGAAAGAAAGAAGTTTCTTTCATGTTAGGCAAACTACTTGAACCATGAAAATGACTTCCAATCTTTCTTAATAGGTCAGCTGCTTAGGCGTGCAAATGAGGCACAAATACAATGGTGGACAAAGGTTAGGCTCATGGGTCTCAAATCTTTGCTCATCACATGAAAAGATTCCCAACAACCCTACTGAATTGACATTTTTTATATGACATATACCATATCGTGAGTTCATATATATTATACTTCTATATAGTTCTTTAATCAAGACGTAGCAGTAGTCCATGTGGCATGGATCTTTTGCTAAAAAGCTTGATTCTTCTTGGCAAAGCCAAAGCCTTAACACTAATTACATGGCAAAAAGAGTGCAATTAATATGTGAAAAAGAAGATAAACAACAGCTTCTTTAGAATTGACATTGCTTAATTAATCTGCAGATCAACTTAGCTCCTGTGTTAAGTTTCACTCTGATCACTAAATTTAACCATGATTGAAGGTCCACCATGGGACCTTGCAAAAATTATTAAAAACCAGAATTAATAAGAATTCTTGTAAACAATAAATAGTCAATTTATGCAACTCTTTTAAACGTTAAGGCTTAACATAAGTCCCACAACTATGGTGGGAGCCATGAAAAGACACTACAAGACAAGCATATATATGTCTTATCATTTTCCTTAAAAAAATCTGCGAAACTCCAACAGCGGGCCTTATAGAGCAAGAGACTGCTATAGGGTGTTATAAACACGGGAGAGCTCATTTTGTAAGCAGGACTTAACCTAAAAGTTCAAGCCATTTGGTCAATTCTTATAAATCATTCGTTTCTTTTATTTCTTTTCAATGTAAGAATTTTTTTGCTCATATGCTCACACTTGAATCCTAACTTGAATTTGCCATAAATCAAAGATTTTATAAACTCAGTCGACCGAGCTTACTTAGAATATACAAAGATAAAAGAATATATATATTAATACGCCCTCAGTATTCTAAGTGTAATATTTATGTATTGGGTTCAGGAAAGGAAAAAGGGAGATGAAAACAATTAAGAGATGGTAGACAATGCCAACAAGCAACTGGAAATTGAAAAAAGGTTTATTTAATTATTTATCAACTTGGATGCACGGTCCAAGACGTCCCAACATATGAAAAATTAAAAAGGACTATTCATGAGAGTAGGTCGAGGGTATTCTTGTAATCTTGTATATACGCGT